CTCAAGTAATATTTATTTATTTGTTTGTTTGTTTATTTTGGTACTGGGGATCCAACTCAGGACCTTGGCTTGTGAGGCAGGTGAGGTGCCACTGAGCTAAATTCAATATTTATTGAGCAGCAACTATATAATAGAGTTTATAAATGGCTCAGAGTTCAGTAGAGGAGCTGTTTTATACTGTGCTAAAATATTATAGATTGACTTGTAGAGGTGACTATGCTTGCCTGGCACTACATTCTGCTCCAAGCTGGTTTAACTACAGAATGCATAACCAACCAACTCTAAAGAGTTAGATATATTAATTAAAAAGACTCCTTGGCATATGCAGATATGCAAATCTTACTCATAGTGTGAAATTACAGCATAGATAAGGACCAGAGTGGTCTAATGAGAGAAGAATTGTGTTTGATTAACAAGATAGATGAATGGTTCAAGATATTGGACACTTTCTTCTGTGAGTTTGATATATTCTGTGTTTAACCTAATCTTACAGAAAAATAATTTTGTAGTATAGTTTGCCTAGAGAGCAAGCAAAAGCCTAATAGAATCAAAGAATAAGGATATTGTGGAAAGACTTGCTGACTACAAAAAAACACGTATTATCCTGGCTGTCTTTCTTTTGTTTTTCTAGTACTAGGGAGTGCGCTGGGGGTCTTGCAGATGCTAAGTAAGTGATCTACTACTGGACCGAAACCCCAGCCTTTTAATTTTAATTTTATTCTTAAGCCAGGTCCTCACTAAATTCCCCAAGCTGGAATTAAATTTGCTATCCTGCTGCTTCTGCCTCCTGTGTAGCTGGGATTGTAGGGTGTACCACCATGCCTAGTCAGTCCTGCCTCTGTTTCATTAAAATGAAATGAATAGAAGAAAGGAAGGAAGGAAGGAAGCCAGGTGTGGTGGCGCATTCCTGTAATCCCAGCACTCATGGGAAGCTGAGGCAGGAGGATTGCTGTGAGATCACCGACAGCCTAGGCTACATAGTGAGATCAATGCCAGTCTGAAATACATAGCAAGACTGTCTCAAAAAACAAAACACAAACAAACAAAAAAAGAAAGTAAAGAAAAGAAAGGCAGGTAAATGAAATTCAAAGCATCAGTCAGGGACACAGGGTTTTGTGAGGTGTAGTAAGAACTTTGGAGATTTGACTAAGAGTTGGTATGATTTGTGACTTAGAGACAATAGAATATATAGAGAATAAAGTAAAGTGAGGAGGTGCAGGGATATCAGCTAGGTGGCTTTCAGACTTTGACTATAATCTTTTGCTTTTTTTTTTTTTCAGTGGTATCTGGGATTGAACTCAGGACCTTGTGCTTGTAAGGCAGGCAGTGGAACCACTGAGATAAATCCCTGGCCCAAGAATTTGACTATAATCTAAAATAAATATTTTAAAATGTGACCCTGTACATGTATTCACTTATGTCTATATTTACATAACTGAAATTAAATAGTAATATTTGCCCTTATTACATGTACTTTACTGATAGTTTTCATTCTTAACTCTTATCTACAGTTTCACTAATAAAAAGGTAGTCTGCAGCTCATTGATTTCATAACACAGTGATACAGTTTAAAACTATTTTGTTATTTGGTATGAGAAAGCATTCTTATATAATGACAATCTTTGTAAAAACTCATTTGACTTCCTCTTTTTTTTTTGAGAAATTATTTTTGGATAAAAAAACCCCAACATACCTTATAGTGGTCATTTAAAGCTGGATGTGATGGCACATATCTGTAATACCAGCACTCTGGGAGGTTAAGGCAGGAAGATCACATGTTCAAGCCAGCCTGGACAATTTAGTGTGACTTAATCAGATACTGTCTTGTTTAAAAAAAAAAATTAAATTAAATTAAAAAAGAAAGCTCAGAGCCAGACGTGGTGGCCCACGCCTGTAATCCCAGCACTTGGGAAACTGAGGCAGGAGGATTGCCATGAGTTCAAGGCCGGCCTGGGATACATAGTGAGACCCTGTCTTAAAACAGAACAAAAAAAATGCTCAGTGCAAAGGCCCTGACTTCAATTTTCAGTACAGGGGTTGGGGGCTTTTATCGTACATTGACTAATTGATGTCTTTTAACTAGTTCAAAATAGAAATTTAATTAAATATTCTACTTACAAAATACTCAGCAACAAATTTAACACATAAGATATAAAACATCTTCAGAAGGAGTATGAAATATTTGAGGATATAAAATAAACTTGGAATAAAAGGAGAGATATACTATGCTTTTGAATAGAATGACTTCTGTTATAAAACTGTAAACCAATTCATAGTATGTAAATCATGTATAGTTTCAATCATCTTAAGAAAATTTTTTTTGGCAGTGGGAGGGAACAAGATCTTACTTAATGTTACTTACCCAGGGTGGTCTTGAACTCTTGGGTTCAAATGATCCTCCTGCTTCAGCCTGTTGACTCCCTGGGAAAACAGGCTTATGCCTTGGCGCCAAGCCCAACCAACATTTCATATTTTTTTGTGGGGGGTGTCTTGGACTTTAGCTCAGTGGTTCTGCTGCCTGCCTCACAAGCTTAAGGTTCCGAGTTCGATCCCCGGTAACAAAACAAACAAAAATTTTTTTTTGTGGCAGACTGCCTGAAGTGTACTCATTTTTGTATATGTGTGAAGTTTTTCATAATAAATTGAAAAAGGTATTAATTTTATTGACAAATAGTCTATTGTGTGACCAATTTATAACAGTTCCCTTTTGATGGATATTTAATTGATTTCTCATTTTTCCTTATAAAAAGTGATATTGCAGTCAAAATATTTAGATCTAACCTCTTGTCTTGGAAGAATGCTATATTGTCTTGCAGAGCAACGGATACAAACTAGCCCTCTCCCAATTTATGTTTGTACCTATGTGTATGTATGCATTTTTGACCTCACATCCTCCCTTTTTATAACTAGATTTAGATACCTTTATGAACGGATACAAATTAGGCTGATAACGTTGGTTTCATGGATTGAGGGGGTTTGATCGGAGCATATCTTTTCAATGTAAAAATCTAAAGAAATAGAAAATTTGTGTCAGTGCTGTGTGTGTGTGTGTGTATTATACACATATGTATACATACATATATACACACATATTTATACACACATATATATTTCACATTCATCTTATTTCCCTGTATTGTGGGTTTT